TCATTTATGATCGTAATTAGTGGCGCCATAATAAGAACACAGTAATTAGTCGTAAGCGTCATCAGTAATATACAAACGCCTGAGAGCTGCCGATTTCTCGATCAGCAAAGTCGGCTTTTATACAAAAATAAATTGTAATTGACAATAATAAATATTGCAGCGCTTTTGTATAGGAAAATGTCATACTCTGATGTGCGTTACGGTCGATGAGGGACGGTGACGCTTTCGGACATCAAAAATAATTCATCGTCGAGATCTATTTTTATATAACGTGCGCATCAAATGTAAGAAGAAGATTTATAACAAAACAATAACCGAAAAATCATAGAAGTTTCGAAGCGAAAAACTTGTTTGAGCGAAATAGTCCCCCAACAAACGTAAATCAAGTTAAGTCCGATATTTATGTGTTTTACGACATGCAAGTTATATTCGTCATCTTTTATGATTCACCGAGCTTGCATGGTTTCTGCTTTTCCTTTGAGGGGTTGTCACGCTGTAATCCGATAAAACCATAAAAAGAATAAAACAAATCAACTAAAGAGGATTTCCCATTCCATCTTGTTTTACGGCAATAGGTGAGGGGCGCAGTGTTTGTGTAAATCTACACTGTAAATTAATATTTGTGGCGGTAAATAAAGCTGGGGATCTTGACCAAGTGTACTTAAGAGACCATTCTTGCGGTAATGCGGCTTCTTTATAAACAAACTTGGACGACCGAGGGGTTAAAAGTTAATACCGCGAAACTTCGATAGAATGATTTGAATACATTCCAGGTCGCGTGATCGTAATTAATTAATTTTCAATCTTAAAGAAAATCTAAAATTGTGGTACGGTACGGTGGTAATAATAGTCTTTCTATACGTTATTTGCATTCTTCGTGTATAATCGCTACCCCACGAATTGAATAACAAATGTTGCGTATTGTGTAATTTGTGGCCGATGATTTACTACCAAAAATTAATGTTTTTGCAGCGTATTGGCTCGTTTTTAAATCTATTGCGAGCTCGCTTATTTAGCTTTGAAATTTTAATACAATTTGGGTACTTACTACTTACTTATTTATTTACATAGAAGGGCATTTAAATTTACATACCAGGAAGAATAGACGCCAATAATGTACGAATAGGGAGTAATGGATTTGTACGATTCCTATATGCTAATTTAAATTATTCAATAAACTAGGAATTTTATTAAGTAAATAAATTTTCAAAATTGTTTTGAGGAAACTCATTCCCTTCATGCAGTTGGCTTTGGTTTTGGCTGACGGACAAAATTATCACACAAGGGGATTTTTTTCCTTCAAAAAATTTCCTAAAAAGATGGCAACGCATTATTCAATATTATATACTCAGAAGGATGGAACTAACGCCTTGGTTTGTATATACGTTCCGAATACGGAATACGCACAAATTTTACCTGGATTTTCTGGATGGGGAGTTGAGTTCAACGAAATTTATTGTCTGATGGGTTGCTTTCAATTCGAAGGTAACGAATCTATACCTGCTTCGAAAACCAATAGGTTAAATTCGCTTAGTTTTTCTTTTCGTTTCTCTTTTCGTTCTCGAGTTAAACGAGCAACAGACGGACAGACAGACAAAAACATCACATAAAGGGAGTTTTCTTCTTTCGAAAAATTCCGATAAAAACCGGTTTGACAGTAGTGTACACAGCATTTCATTAAATTGTTACTGTTAATTTCTGTGTGGCCAGGAAAATGGAATTGGAATACCTGTGATGTGGTATTGTGTTACTGAAGTTTTAAAGGTACTCGAATTACAATTTGCATTACCAATTTGCATGAACTGCATTTAGAATTACACGAAAGTTGCTAGAACAAATTTCTCCTTTAACGGAGTTGTGAGGAACCGCGCCGAGCTTTTCATCATTTGCACCTACAGATAAGTCCAACAAAATTTCGTTTACTATCACCCCCCGTAACACAATATCCCTCTACGAATAGGTGTATTTCATCAAATCGTTGCGTCAGTTGCGATGTATAGCTTTTCAGTATTTTAAGAATTAAATTATAAAGTAGGATAGACCGTAAATTTGCCTATCAGATTCTATTTCACAAAAAAATGCTTATTACATTGTGGCAAAAAAATAAGAGATATCATATGGAAAGCTGCATAAACCAAGCACATTGTGCGAATTTATTATTAAAACTTGCCTTTAAACATTAATGGAATTAAAGCAAAGGAATAAATAATAAGTGTAGTATTTTTCTATTTGTAAAACACCACCCGCCTAGCAATTTTAATCGATGACGAAAGACATGCTTTGTTAGGTAGGCATTAGAGATTCTTAGCTAAGGTCCTCTATAGCTGTACGAGCATGTCCGAAACGTTCCGCAAAGATAATAATTTATCCCAAGCTTTACAATTATTAATAGTTATCTCATAAGCAACATAACTACAGCGAGCAAATATCAGTGGGATAGCTCACATTGGAGACTATTGTCCTTCGTGATTAATGGTGATAACGGACTGTGATGGATCAAAAGATAACTAACAAGGGCTACCAACTTTACACCAATCCTAGTGTGCATTACGGAGATACGCTTTCCATTTGCATATGTCTGCCTTTTAGTCTAATTTACGTTGGAAATCTGATTTTTCCGTTATTATACAATTTGAGATAACTGATGTTACATTGAAAAACTTAGTAAGCTTCGAAATGATTAGAATATTCGCAAAATCGACCGGTAAAACTAATTCCTCCCGTTCCAGAATAGAGTTTTAGTTGCCCTAATGAAAATTATTCTAGTTTCAGTACCGCAAATAGACAATGATTGAATGTAACGCGCAAATATGAGGATTAATTGATGTGTCGACTAAATTTTGTTTGTTATTGAAATATTCGTATTTATTAAGCCGCTTATTTGACTTCTATTTCGTTGTGACAAAAAATGTCTCTAAAACAAACATAGGTATATTTATGTTTGGGGGTTTGCCGTCGTCGTAATTTATACCTACTAATGAGAATCTCATTTTCGCTTAAACCTCAAAAAGAGAGTGTCTCAATTACATTCTAGTTCTAAGTATTAACTTAAACCAAATCATCCTACAGTAATTAAAGCCGAAAAGTAGATTACATGGATCGAATTCTTCTTAAAAATGTCCACATCCATTTTGAAAAACGTTCTCAGATCGGGTGGTGCTATATTTAAGAGTGAATGTAGCCATGGTATGGGAGTAGAATTGATCGCTCTGCTAATTAGTCTCATTACAGTATTTTAGTGCATCAATATAGTGCTACGGAAATTACTTAATGCAAATGTTGATGCAAGTATTTTGTAGCATACACTGAATAATGTAATTGGATCGTCGTTTGGGTTTCCTAGTTTTAAAATTGCTAAAACTTTGGAATCCAAGCAATAAGCCGTCGAAGTTAGGTTGTTTCTTGACACCATTCTAACACCATTTTTCATAGTCCTTATATCATCTTTTGATACTGCAATTAATCGATTGTCAATCGAATCTTCGAACTGCTGTCTTAGTGACGTATTTGAGTTTACCTTGTGAAGTACCTAGATTTCAGCTTGTCCTACTAGAGCGTTCAGTAATCTCATTTTTCTTTTTATCCTTTATTAAGTGACTCTAATATGGCATCTTCGTTATGTTAAATGGGGCGCAATATCTTTTAACATTTATTCATTTCATTGCATATGATTTTCAGTAGGGGAGTTTTTTGGCACTTAGCTCCCATTCGAAAAACGACTTTCCGGCTCATATTTAATAGTATTGATCCTTGAACTCGTAAAAAACGATTGTCTCTTTCGTTCTCAAATTAGGAATAGGAAAGACGAACAGGCAGAGGGACGGACAAAAACATCACGTAAGGGGAATTTTTTTCGAAAAATTTAATGGTGTAATAATAAAACTCTTGTTGAGCTTCAAGTTTGATTTCGCGACCTTCAATATTTCTCCGGACTTGGTGGCTGGGTTCAAGACGGGTAGTCTTTTGCGTTGTCAAATAAATGGTAAAATAAATAATAATTAGTAGCAAATGAAAAAAAAAACATAACTGCTAAATCAAGCTTTGTAATATTGTAAGAAAACATCAAATTGATAACGTTGGAATTTTATTTGTGAAACATCCTGTACTATGTTTTGTAAAATCCCCTCGTTAGATGTCGCCTGTTGTCGTCCCCATCCTTTATTTGCAATCACTTCTACATCTCCCACCTTGTTGTGTGTCCTATAAAAGGTGTTTGTAAAGTACCAGAGAGCACTTCCGATTAATTCCGTTCCATGTTAAAATCATTCCCCGAACCAGAACCAGACCCGATTCCTGCCCGTTTCGAAAACCTGATATCCGTTTAAGTTAATTTTATTTTCCGTTTTAATTCCACCAGAGCTTTTCGTTTTAGTTTCATTATTTTCCCAGACCTATTAATTTGATAATTACTTTTAGTTTTGCCGTTTTACTCACCTGTTCCCGGGAAGATAATCCTGGTAGGGTAAATCCCTGCGGGCTTATAAAACCGGACACAGAACTAGTTCTTTGTATTCTTGCCTTCGGTCGGTCGACCGGACTGGAATCCAAAGAGCTTCCCTTCCGTGTTTGCCGTCTGATTCCACCGACTTTGAGTAGAGGTTGTTGGAACCGGGTGGAAGTTCCTCTGTAAGGGCCGTCGCCAGGTAAATCCTTGCCGACCTTAATCGAGAGCTATTACTTCCTGTTCAAGTCAACTCAGGTCGGGTTATTTCTTTGATGAAGAGCACCTGAAATATAACTGGCGGAGAAAGCTTCCTATACTTTCTTTACCTGATACCTCCTCGAGCCTTGATAAGCATCCGGGCTTATGGGGTAATAACTCTTTATCATTACAGCGAACTAGTAGCACTTGCCACATCCACCGCACGTTTCCAGTTGGGGAAAAGAAAACGCCGTACCAGACCCCAAGGTCAACCGGGGATTTGGCAGACGGTGGAGGTGTCTCCGTACCCAACATCGGGATTTAAATATTTGAATTTTTTATTTATTTTATTTTATTAATTAAACAATTTCAATCAATACGAATTTCGATCTCTGGCCAGCCGGCTGGAGCTACCCGAAGGCAGAACCCCGTTCTGTTTACATTTGGCGCCCGAGGCAGTTTTAATTGGATACTGTAAGGATATTTGTACATAGTTAGGAAAAAGTCTTTATTTTGTTACAACCATTATTTTAATTTTCTTTTCCAGGGATAACCGTTGTTTTAGTTTATTTTCAGCATCTGAAAGAATCTGTTTTAGTACACAGTGGGTAGTCAACTTACCATGAATTTAACAGGAGAAAAATTAGGTCCCAGTGACACCGAAGTTCGAGTAGGATGGGTGTACCAGTTAAAGAAACCAGAACTGATTACGGCATTAGCAGAGTTGGAGTTAGACAGTGAAGGCAACGTAGACGAGTTGAGAGCACGACTGGTCAAATATTACAGGAGCAAGGAAGCACCTGCAGCAACGTCATTACTGTTACCGTCGTTTCCGCTGCAAATGGAGGTGAGCGAGAAGAAAATTCCTAGGGGTCCACCACCACCAGAAAGTTCAAGAGAGAACCGTGCAACACACCCAGAGGTTGAAACACTTACCGCAGCGCAGATCTGCGACAAGGTGAGGAAATGGGGTGTGAAATTCGATGGCACTCAAGATTCTATGGCTTTCCTGGAAAGAATAGATGAACTAAGGGAATGTTATGGATTCACAGAAGCCGATTTACTTCTCGCATTACCGGAGTTGTTGAAGGGAAAAGCTCTTCTTTGGTATCGCAACCATAAGCAGACCTGGAGGAACTGGACAGACGTCATTGAAAGTTTCAAGGTATATTTCTTACCACAGCGGTACCAATACACCTTGGAGGAAGAAATCAGAAACCGCATTCAACGTTCCCGAGAACCAGCCACCGAATATGTGACCGACATTTTAACGTTAATGCGACGACATGGAAATATGTCCAACCGCAGCCAATTAGAAAGGATACATGAAAACTTGCAGCCGGAGTATAAACATTATGTTCGACTACGAGATTTCAACACATTAACCGAACTGCTGGAACTGGCGGGACAGTTTGAAAAGTTGCCAAGGCTTACAGTTCAGGAATCAAGACCTACTTCAAGTCAAAGGGTACGTTTTGATGCAAGACCGTCCAGTCCGGGAAGAACTTGGCATCCTAGTCCGGGTAATTCACGACCAGGATCACCTATAAGACCAGTTACTAATGTCGATACCACAGGAGTAAAAATTCCTTACCAGACAGAAGTGGTATGCTATCGATGCGGAGAAAGGGGCCATACGAGGTTTAATTGCAGGGGAGTCTTTAAACGTTTCTGTTCACGGTGTGGCCGTCAAAATATATTATCCAAATACTATCAGTGTAGAGACGGGTCAGTGTTCTGCCTTCGGGTAGCTCCAGCCGGCTGGCCAGAGATCGAAATTCGTATTGATTGAAATTGTTTAATTAATAAAATAAAATAAATAAAAAATTCAAATATTTAAATCCCGATGTTGGGTACGGAGACACCTCCACCGTCTGTCAAATCCCCGGTTGACCTTGGGATCTGGTACGGCGTTTTCTTTTCCCCAACTGGAAACGTGCGGTGGATGTGGCAAGTGCTACTAGTTCGCTGTAATGATAAAGAGTTATTACCACATAAGCCCGGATGCTTATCAAGGCTCGAGGAGGTATCAGGTAAAGGAAGTATAGGAAGCTTTCTCCACCAGTTATATTTCAGGTGCTCTTCATCAAAGAAATAACCCGACCTGAGTTGACTTGAACAGGAAGTAATAGCTCTCGATTAAGGTCGGCAAGGATTTACCTGGCGACGGCCCTTACAGAGGAACTTCCACCCGGTTCCAACAACCTCTACTCAAAGTCGGTGGAATCAGACGGCAACCACGGAAGGGAAGCTCTTTGGATTCCAGTCCGGTCGACCGACCGAAGGCAAGAATACAACGAACTAGTTCTGTGTCCGGTTTTATAAGCCCGCAGGGATTTACCCTACCAGGATTATCTTCCCGGGAACAGGTGAGTAAAACGGCAAAACTAAAAGTAATTATCAAATTAATAGGTCTGGGAAAATAATGAAACTAAAACGAAAAGCTCTGGTGGAATTCAAACGGAAAATAAAATAAACTTAAACGGATATCAGGTTTTCGAAACGGGCAGGAATCGGGTCTGGTTCTGGTTCGGGGAATGATTTTAACATGGAACGGAATTAATCGGAAGTGCTCTCTGGTACTTTACAAACACCTTTTATAGGACACACAACAAGGTGGGAGATGTAGAAGTGATTGCAAATAAAGGATGGGGACGACAACAGGCGACATCTAACGAGGGGATTTTACAAAACATAGTACAGGATGTTTCACAAATAAAATTCCAACGTTATCAATTTGGTGTTTTCTTACAATATCATTCAGGGGAAATTTACGCAAATGTTACCAACCGATCCAAAATGTGATAGGATACATCAAACAGTTAATGCAGCATACGGGGTAACAGCTGATGCGCAAGTCCAGATTGTTCTCTGTTATATGAAGCCAGTTATACCCATTTATTTGGGATTTTGTCTCGGATATCGTAGATGTTGAGAGCCATAAAGAAACGATTTACAAACGCGAAGTATTTACTAGCCAGATGCACTGATACAAAAAGCTATAGAAAATGAAACCTTGTTTGAGAATGGCTGTATCGAAGAAGGTTTGATGTATGTCCTCTACCAAAGGCCTATTATAAAATTTGAAGAAAACGGTCGAATTATGTGACTATCCTCCAGCAGTTCTTATTGTCTCGATAGGAACGCCACTGCTAAAGGCTGCTGTTGTTTTAAAAAAGTTGGTATCAATACCGCTCAATTGCATAACTGATTTCAACCGCCTTGCTATTGTGTCAGAAGACGCTGCATGCTAAGGATTCTTGTAAGTCACAAACAGAAAATCTACGCTGAGAGGTATCTAAAAACACTAACATTACCAATTTTATTGTTAAATCTTTAAGAGAATGATCTTCCAATGGAAAAAGTTTTCCTAAGTAACCTAGAACAGACTTCCAAGAGGAAGAGTATTTTGGAAATGTGGGTTTTTGTCGAAATAAACCTTGAAGGAAGCGGGGAATAAAGATTTTACAGTGCTCACGAAGTTTATAGCAAAGCTGTATGCTTTTAATGTGGAATATGATCAACCTGCCGGAAATTGAATTTTCAATAATTCCAATAAAAGATTTTTTTACTTAACAGTTGTTTTATATTTGCAGAAATATTTTCAATTTTAGATTGCGGAAGAGAAATTGTTAAGGTTCTACTGTGTAATTTTTTGAGTTGGTGTAAGTTCACTTTTTCTATAGCTTATGAGAAAGCCCATCAGGAAGTTAAAAGGGCCACATTAGACTCGACATTACTGATGCATTTAGCAAAGGTATCTCTAATAAGAAGGAAGACGAAACTGTAACGGTCCACTTTTTATTCCCTTTTCATGGTGAGTATGTGTTAACCCAACCACGAGATAGAGAGAATTGTGAAGGTATTTATGTGTTAAAATGAAATCTACACTTACAGCAGGAAAAACTGCAGTCGATTAGGTTTATCACGACTGCATGATGCGTAATAAAAACACAATGTTTTGGAAATAACTGACCATCGTCTCTAAAACATATATTATAAAATCACTTACTTTCCGATACCGACGACGAATCATCCTTGAATTTTTCCGCAACCTCACTCATTAGGCGCTGCATTTTCCACATTTTCTTTTTCAAGACGCGGACATTTCCGTATCCCAAGGGCGTTTTTTGTTTTTTCCCACGTTCGGAAAATCTCCACTTCCCCATCAGTCTGTGACTAAAGGAAACAATGCACCTAACGATCCAAACTTACTTTTTTGTTGCCTATGAGCCACCACTCGGGGTGTGGTAAATTAACCTTTCATAGGCTAATGCAATGCAAGATATCGAAAGCAGGACAACAGTTAAGGATTCTTCACGGTTTTAGGAATAGGAACCACTACGATTTCTTCAATACTTTTTCTTTATAAAACCATGTTTCATTCTTAAAGAGGAAAATGTTTCAACAATTTGATATGTTTTAATACAAGGCGCTTTTTTGACATAAACAGCAGGGGTGGGGTTAAAATCTTCTTTTATACCTACATTCTGCATCTTGTAACAATGGTTATGGTGAATTATTATTTGTTGTTTCGAGTTTGTCGTTATTGAGAAAGAACTTATCTAGTCATCTCTCGCAATTTACTTGATTATATTTTTAATTGCGAATTTTACAGCCTTCAGTTTATGGAATTGATGATTATTAATAAAACTTTCCCGTTTTCTGAAAGCATCGACGCAATTAGTAATTTAGAACACAAACTTCTGTTAACCAAGTCCTTTTTCCCGTCGTGAACTTTTTTTCATTAGCGGCCCATTTATGATTTTTTTTAATAATCTCTGCCGCTGAAAATAAGGGCAAGTATTAAATCGGTAAACCTACCGAACACAAACCACAACGTTATTAGACGGATTGAACGAAATAGTCCCTCTCGTTTCGTTTATTCTTAACGGAAGTTAAAATTCTAGTTAAACTATTGTTTTCGTTTCAAAGAACCACAGGATGACGAATTATTAGAAAAACTGGCTACAAAAGTTTGAAGGTTTTCAGTTTCAATACGTGCTAATTCTCAACTAACTTCCTAACCGATATCTGCTAAGAGTCTCATTGTCTCATGGAAACGAGGAAATATTGCCGTCGAATATTGACAGAGCATTCGTGTAAGATTAGGACTGCACCCCTGTGGAAGTTTCTCAACAGGAGCAGAACACATAACCCATTATTTTGAACCGGGTGTTTGTGCCATATCCTGAGTACCGAAATTCAACTGCATGACGGCCACCACTGTGATTGAAACCACGATGTGGATGATGTGAAAATGTCGAATGTCAGAGACAATATAAAATTAGCGGGAATTGCGTCACCAGGTGGTAATGACATGAATATGAAACCACCAGACGACTTATTCTCGATTGATTTTCGAATAATACTTAGTTTCATAAGGGTCAGATAAATGACATGTTACTGGCAATACGAGGCCGAGTACTTTAATCTCCGAGTCAAGTAGTGTTATTGTACTAACGAGTTTTGTATTACCTTTTCTTCCTGAAATCGTATTTTTTAATATCAAATTTCAATGTTCATATAGAACTTTTTATTACTATTAATATACCAGTTTTAACAAGAGTCTGGTAACGAAACAGGACACAATTTCAATTAATATTATACAGAGCAAAGAATTCTAATCGCTGAAATTGTGGGAGGAATATCTAAGAGCGAATGCGGTGTAGCTAGATCAAAAATGTAAATTATTCATAGTAAATTGATGAACAAATAGAACGGTTGGAGGAATTTTCAACACAAATTACAAGTGGTCTGTTTTCCGCACTAGAAAACCAAAAGGAAGATCAATATTTCGCCGACAAGAATTACCTCTAACCGATAATTAATATTGAATGGATGTAGGGGCTCGGGAATTAATATTGAATTAGATGTCGTGGGATTATACTTGCTTTGTGGCAAAAGTAAAGGAGAACTCTCTCAAGAATCAATATCCTTCCGTTGCTGGAAGTTATTTTTTTTTTTTACGTCGAAACGAAATTAATAAAGTAAATTGCATAATAATGAACATTATTAAATAGAGGGAATAAGCGAGTTTAAGGCCGGACAACTTTCTTAACTCTCATTCCATCATAAATAAAACGCCGGGGTCGTCCCCCTTCTCTTATTAACTAAGGACCGGCGGGTCCTTGCAACCAAACTTTAAATGAATTAAATATCGTACACTTTGGAACGACAGAAGCGCCGTCCTCGTTAGCGCAACCGACGTTAGCACTAACGAGATCCTCGCCCATTCGCCGTATATTTTATTGTCAAAACCAGAAATTACACAAAAATTTTCCTTCTTTTAATGGTTACTGATACTGAAATATATATTAAAGGTAAGGTAATTTTTCTAATTTTCCATCTCTTCCATCTACTCGTTACTTGGTTCTATGCGAATATGCGATTACTCAAAGAGAATTAACGACGATATTAATTTGTCTAATGCGGCGCATTATATATCATTAAAAGGTTCTGCCTGTTTTTACAAATTCGTGTCTAAAGATCCACTATCGACTCGGGAATAAGGGCACGGGAGCGGTACGGATGCGTGATATATTTCTACATCGGTATATGCGTGCGAATCGTCGCATGCATACTTGCATATCCTGCTGTACAAATATATTCCGCATCCGTTCCGCTCCCGTTTCCGCATTGCCGCGTCGGTTTGAGTGGACCTTTATTTGGATTCCAATATTACGACTATATGAATAAACATTTAAGTCCGAAATCGGTTCTCAATTCAGTTAGTTCAGTACTTTTTTTGATATGTGTGAATATTCTTCTTAATTTGTTAATCAATTTTGG